TTTTTTTCTTGAACTGTAGATACCTTGCTTGTCAATGATAATTCAAAAAGCATTTTATAAAGTCTAAAGAATTAGAGTTAGCCAAATTGTGAAATCGAGATTCTTTAGGGATTCAATTTCTGTACTCAGAGGTTATATAGAATGAAGTGAATTTGGAAGTGTGGATTTTAGTCGGCTTTGGTTGTGGAGACTGTCAACTTAGATATATTGAAACAAAAAGTGGATTTTCTCAACACATTTCTGAATAGACTTCAAGATCTTGTAATTAACAACAGCTGGTAAGCACTCACATGTCTATTTCCATTTATATTGGCCACTAGCCAAACAATAGATTTTTGCCGATCATAAACTTAAAATCACCAATGGGGAGTGCCATTTTAAATTTAAAATCACAGTGGATATACAGTATCCAGATAGGGAGGTATAGAGAAGGTTTTTTTTTTTCTTTTCTTGCTTGCAATTCCATTCATTCAAGTACTTATTGCTGCTATGTACTAGGTATTGTGCTAAGTATTGAAGTTGACAGTAACATGAACCAGCAGACCTACCATTTCCATACAACCTAGCTGGGGTTGGAGCAGAGTGGGATGGCAGGAACACTGTTAACTAAAATATTAAAATAAAAACTTACTCTAAGTTTGTAACAGGGATGTGGACCATGGATTGTGGAATCACAAAAAGAGCAACTAATTATCTCCAAAAAGCTTCACAGAGAAGTTGCAGTTAAGTCAGGTCTTAAAAAGTGAATGGAAAGTCATCCAAAGGGAAGGTAATTAAATATTTGCTTGATGTTGGCCTTCTTAGTAGACACTGTGGGTTCCAACTGCACATGGACTGGGTCTTGCTCAATGTAATGTTCCTGGTACCCAGCCCAATGCTTTGATTATATCACTAATTTTACTCTAAGGTATCTGTTGATCAACTGGCTGAACAGTATTTCAGACTGAGAGTCCTATAAGGTGTTGGGGCATAGCAGGCAATGCTGTTGCTTGTGATGCTGGAATCCCATGTTGGAGTGTGAGTTCAAATCCTGCCTGCCTTGCTTCCAATTTTAGTATATGTGCTGCCGAAGCGAGCACGGCTGCTTTGCTTCCAATCCAGCTTCCTGCTAATGCACCTGGGAAAGTAGTAGATGATGGCCCAAATAATTGGGTCCCTGGCACCCAGGAGGAGACTCAGATGGAGTTTCTGACTCCTGTCTTTGGCCTGAGCGAGCCCTAGCTGCTACTAGGCATTTGGGAAGTGCTTCAGTGGATGGATGAAATCTCTCCCACCTCTCTCTCTCTTTCTTTCTCTCTCTCTCTCTGTCTCTCTCTCTCTTTGCTTTCTCTCAATCTCTCTCTTAATTGCTATCTCTTTTCTCTCTGTGTATCATTCTACCTTTTGAATAAATAAATATTTAAAAAATGTACATTAAAAATAAACAACACAATGATTTTTCTAGACTGTGGCTTGTTTCAGCACCATTGGCTCCTGGAAATGAGAGAGGCACTGGAGAAGAGGCCAGAAGATTTGCATTTTAATTCCAGGCCTGTTATTAACTAGCCACATGACTATATCATTCTTAGTTTTCTTATTTTTAAAAAAGACTTGGAAGGGTATATTATTGTAAGGAAAAAAAAAAAGCAGAAGACAATTTAGTAATGTCTATATTTTTAAATGCAAAATTAATATATGCATTCCAGATTTATGATGGTACACTGTCTGCATACTGATAATCTCCTCACCAAAACTGTAGCACAGACAAAAAGTAGATTAATAAATATTCAAAACCAGGAAAGGAATGCCCTTTGCATCAAGAGCCAGAGCACTGAGCTATGGCTCTCTCTGCCTCAAAGCTGCTACTCTTGGTCTTGACTGATTTTTTCTAATCTGCTAAAGAGAGAAACTGAAAAGAAAGCTAAGAGGTATGGAGGTTACACATTTTTTTTACCATCGATCTAATGTAGGCATTTAGGAAAATGTTTTCTTGGGCCGGCGCCGTGGCTCACTTGGTTAATCCTCCGTCTGCAGCGCCGGCGTCCCATATGGGCACTGGGTTCTAGTCCTGGTTGCTCCTCTTCCAGTCCAGCTCTCTGCTGTGGCCCGGGAGTGCAGTGGAGGATGGCCCAGGTGCTTGGGCCCTGCACCCGCATGGGAGTCCAGGAGGAAGCACCTGGCTCCTGGCTTCGGATTGGCGCAGCACCAGCTGTAGTGGCCATTTGGGGAGTGAATCAATGGAAGGAAGACCTTTCTCTCTGTCTCTCTCTCTCTCTCATTGTCTAACTCTACCTGTCCAAAAAAAAAAAAAAAAAAAAAATGTTTTCTTGCCCTGGATCTTTTTGGCAATGTAGTGAATTTTCTCTTCTTATAACAATAACTTTATTTTTTTTTTTTTACTTTTATTTAATGAATATAGATTTCCAAAGTACAGCTTATGGACTACATTGGCATCCCTCACCCCCCCATGACTTCCCTCCCACCCGCAACTCTCCCCTTTCCCACTCTCTCTCCCCTTCCATTCATATCAAGATTCATTTTCAATTTTCTATATATACAGATCAGTTTAGTATACATTAAGTAAAGATTTCAACAGTTTGCACCCACATAGAAACACAAAGTGAAATATACTGTTTGAGTACTCGCTTATAACAATAACTTTAAATATATAAAGCAAACTGCATTAGATTACAAAAGAAATCAATTATGTTGAAATGGAGTTTTCAAAATATTAAAACTTTGTGATAAATAACATCAATTAAATATCAAGGTCTTAGTTTGTTTACTATCCTTTTTGAGATACCTTCCATAATTATAATATAAAACTATCTATGATTTTTATTGGTGGCAATGTCACAGACACTGACAATAATACTCTGTTTTGTTGCCTATATACAAATGGTAGAAAATACTACATTTAGTTAGGGTTTGGTAAAAATAAAAATGTAATTGTTCACATTCACAGACTCCATTAATTCTAGACACAGACTCCCAGGTTAAAAAGCTCTTATCTAAGCCCTAGCACTGTGGCATAGTGGGTTAAAATACTGGCTGCACTGCCGGCATCCCATATAGGCACCGGTTTGAGTACTGGCTGAGCCACTTCTGACCTAGCTCCCTGCTAATGCACCTGGGAAAGCAGCGAGAGATGGCCCAAGTCCTCGGGACCCTCCACCCCCATGAGATACCTGGATGAAGCTCTTAGCTCCTGGTTTCAGCCTGGCCCAGCTCTGGCCAATGTGGCCATTTGGGGAATGAACCAGCAGATAGAAGTTGTTTCTTTCTCTCTCTCTACCTCTCTGCCTTTCAACCAAATTAATATAAAAAAGCCCTTCTAATCTAACAGAATTTCTAGATTTTCCAAGAACAAAGGAAATGCAATATTTTAATATTTTAGAACTGAAAGAGAAGTGATACTTCAGATTAAAAGAGTTCACTATGAGGTAAATGCTTGGTGTAGCAGTTAAAATGCCACTTGGAATGCTTGTATTACATATCAGAGTGCCTGGGTTTGGGTCTTGGCTGTGCTTCTGATTCCAGTTTCCTGATAATGGGTACCCTGGGAGGTAGAGATAATAGCTCAGGTATTTAGGTATCAGTCACCCACTTGGAGAGCCAGATGGAGTTCCTCTCTCCTAGCTTTGGCCTATCCCATCCCTGGATGTAGGAATTTGTGGAATGAACTGGTGGATGGAAGATTTCTCTCTCTCTCTTTTTTTTTCTCTTTCTCTCAAATTAAAAAAGATTTTATTAAATGCTAGCATAATAATACTGCTATAGTTTGGATATAGTTTTGCCCTAAACTCTTAGAGATGTTTAAACCTCAAAATCAGGCCGGCGCTGCGGCTCACTAGGCTAATCCTCCGCCTTGCGGCGCTGGCACACCGGGTTCTAGTCCCGGCCGGGGCGCCGGATTCTGTCCCGGTTGCCCCTCTTCCAGGCCAGTTCTCTGCTGTGGCCAGGGAGTGCAGTGGAGGATGGCCCAAGTGCTTGGGCCCTGCACCCCATGGGAGACCAGGATAAGTACCTGGCTCCTGCCTTTGGATCAGCGCGGTGCGCCATTGGAGAGTTTACCAATGGCAAAGGAAGACCTTTCTCTCTGTCTCTCTCTCTCTCACTGTCCACTCTGCCTGTCAAAAAAAACAAACAAAAAAACAAAACAAAACAACAACAAAAAAACAACACCTCAAAATCATAAGCTAATGGTTCTAAGAGGGTAGAAATGTGATCCAATTATGGTGTTTAGAAGATGGGCATATCAGGAGACCCTTAGATCTTTGGGGGTGTACCTTTAGAAAGCAATTCACATGAGCAGATTGGTAACAGAACCTTGTGCTGGGCCCAGCCACTCTATTTCTTGGCTTACCATGTGATTCTTTTTCTGCATGTGTCCCATCGCCACCATCCACTGCCCAGTGGGGCTGTCCAGTCTTGGACTTCAACCTCCAAACCTGTGACCTAAATATACCCTTTCTTTTTATAAAGTTAGCTCCCTTATATGTTTCACTGCAGTAATGAAAAACTAACACAGGTATGAAAATGAAATAAAGAAATATGACTAGAAATACATGGTAAAACATAAGAGATAAAAAAGAAAATACTAGATTATCAGAGTAGAAAGATAGACAAGCCATGAAGGAAGAAGAATCAATAACACTGGATGTTTAATCAACAAAAGAAAATGACAGATATGCTTAAAATGCAAAGGAAACTTTTATTTTGAATTTATAATTCTACACATAACCAATTATCATTTGTTTGAGGTAGAGTTAGGATAAAATAATAGAATTTTCAGATATTGAGGATTTGGAATGACTAGCACTCATGGCCTAAAAATAAACTCTAACAAGAAAAAAATTAAACCAAAAAGAAGGGTTAGAATGAAATATAATGTATATAGTTGGAAAAATATTAAGTAATATATAAAGTAAAAAGTGAGGGATGGGTGCTGTGCCACAGCAACTTAAGTCACTGCTTGGGATGTCTGCATCCCATACTGTAGTGCCTCAATCAAGTTTTACCTTTGCTTCTGATCCAGCTTCTTGAAGATGTGCATCCTTGGAGGCAGCAGGCACTCCGCTGGGAGACCCAGATGGAGTTCTTGGCTTCTGGCTTAAGCCTGGCCTAGTCCCAGCCATTGTGGGTCTTTGGGGGAGTGAACCAGCAAATGGAAGACATCTCTCTCTCTCTCTCTGTTACTCTGCCCTTCAAATAAATAAAAATAAACAAACTTTTAAAAAGTAAAAGGCGAAAGAGCTCTGCTTTTTCTTTTATTTATTTTGTATTCTCCTACACGTTTTCAATGACTGTGCAAACGCGTGCACAAATATATATATACAGATACCTTTTGTTGTTGAAACAATGGGCTCATTCTATTTCTCATTCAATGGAGTATCATGAATTTCCTTCAGTATTGACACATGAAGAACTACCTTACTCTTTTGACTATTTTCATTTCATAATACAGATGTACAATAATTTATATATCACCATTTACATGGGCAGTTAGAATATCTTAAATTTCTTAGTGCTTAAAAATGATGCATTTCTTTTAAAAGATTATTTTGATAACCTACTATGAGCTCTGTCACATACAGAAATACAAGAAATGGTCCCTGCTGTCAAAGTACTTGTAGGTGTTTTACATAGTTTCAAAAAATATTGCTATAAAAAACAGTAGAACCTTCACAAAGAAAAATAAAACACTGGTACTGCATGCCATGTACAGATTTTCCAAGGAATTATGAAAGTTTAAAAAAAGTTTCATCAAGGAAGGACACAGATAAGAAATCTGAGAATATTGCTACATCCCACGATAAACAATTGCTTCAGAGTTACAATAAAGTGGACAAATAAGACATTGTAGCTATGTCTGGCAGAGGCTGAAGATAAGGGAAGAAGGGGGCCCTGTGCTTGGGAGCAAATGACACAATTTAAGTTGATGAAAGGCAGAGTACTAAGTGATTGACTTTTTTATAGTCTGACAAAAATAATCATTTATTATAAAAAAACAAAATTTAGGATAGTTGAAACCCAAAGTGGATGAAAAGACAATAAGAATTTATCTGTTTTCCATGAATTCAATCACCCAGGCCCAAATACATCACATCCATCACATATCCTAGAACTCTAACAACTGGCAGAGATGGAAGACTTGTGGGGCTTATGGATAGTTTTTGGGCCCATGGAGAGCTTGGGAAGATGAGAAGCTTGTAAGTTTCTGACTGCAGCCAAACTAACATGGTCCCAATATTATTAAAAGGCAATTTCTAGAACCGATAGATTTGGAACCATAAGCAAAAAATTCTTTATGGAGTTAGCCATTCACTCCCTTGAAATGTATGTCAGGTGCTGAGGGAACATATAATGAAGATAAATGATGCAAGAAATAAAGAGTTTTAAGAGGAGAGTTAAGGAAGTAAAAATAAAAATAAGGAAATGATTATGAAATTATAAGTGATGTTTTCCTTTCTTTTTTAAAAAAGTTATTTGTTTATTTGAAAGGCAGAATGACAGAGAGAGAAATCTTCCATGTGCTGATTCACTTTCCAAATGCCTACAGCAACCAAGGCTGGGACAGGCCCAAACCAAGAGACCAGAATTCCATGTCAGTGTCTCACATACATAGTCACTTTAGCCATCAATAGCTGTATCCCAGGTGCAATAGCAGGAAGCTGGATCAGAAGCAGAGTAGGCAGGACTTGAACCAGGCACTCTGATATGGGATGTGGGTGTCCCAACTGGTGGCTTAACCCACTGTGCCACAATGCCTGCCCCTGTTGCCTTTTTTTTAAGGAGGTAAGTACAGTGCTTTAAATTTCTCTTCTACAAAGTCTCTGTTTATTCATTACAAAGTAAATATGTTCTATATGCAAGGCACTGTACTACATGGTACAGAGGAGAAAAGTGATATATCAGAAATAGATCTTGCCTTCAAGGAACTTAGTATGAAAGGGAGGTTTATTAAAAATACATAAGTATGTGATGGCCAGCTTACATTAGTTCATTCATTTATTTATTTTTAAAGATTTATTTACTTATTTAAAAAGAGAAAGAGAGAGAGAGAGAGAGAGAGAGAACTTTCATCTGCTGGTTCATGCCCCAGATGGCTGCAAAGGGAGCTGGATCAGAAGTGAGCAGCAGGGACTGGAACTTGTGCCCACATTTGATGCCAGCACCACAGGTGGTAGCTTTACCATTACACCACATCCCTGGCCCCACATTAATTCATTTATACAAAAGAAAGTCATGCATCCACAAGGGTGAAAGAGAATCAGCTGTGACATTACCTAGCTGTTAACGTGATCTTACCTGGAGGCTGGTGTTTGTGGTGGAAGTGATGCCAAATGCTTAATGAACCTCATTTCATCTATAGTTTTTGTTCACATAGGAAGACTATATTTCCCATCCTCTCTTAAAGTTAGGTCATGCACATGTGAGTAGGGTCTGAAAACAGAAAGTAAGCAAATGTAATTAACCAGTTGGAGATCTCACCCTTAAAAGTAAAAGCAATCATTACCAATATCTACTAAAGTTGATAAACATGTGCCCATTTCCTAAAACCTCCACTTTCAGTTATATGACCAAGAGATACAAAAGCATATGCCTATAAAAAGACAAGTAAAAGAATATTCATTTTTGGTTTACTTATAATAGCATTAAATTTGCAATAATCAAAATGTCCTAGAAGGGAAAAATCATGCTATATTCATATAATGGAATACAATACAGCAAAGAAATGAACTAAATCTATAACACATTAACATGCACACATGTTGAGTGAAGGAAGCCAGATAATAATGTTGAATGTATTCATGCATTAAACTAAATTTCAGGAAGAGGTAGAATGAAGGTATGTTGCTAGAAGTCACACTGGTAATTGTCTCTGTGCGTGCATTAATTGGGAATGGGACAAGAAAATTGTGGACTGGTGAAAATACTCCTTTTCTTAATCTGGATAATTCTTTCAAGAGTGGCATTGTAGTACAGCAGGTTAAGCCACCATTTGAGACACCTGCATGCCATATCAGAGTGTCTGGGACATAGTTTCATCTCAATTTCCAATACAGTTTCATGCCAATGTACATCATGGGAGACAGCAGAATGATGGCTCAAGTACTTGTGTTCCTGACACCCACGTGGCAGACCCAGATGGAGTTCCTAGCTCCTGGCTTTGGCTTGGTCTAGTCCTGGATGTTGAGGGCATTTGGGGAGTGAATCAGCAGATGAAAGATTCTTTCTCTCTCTTTCAAATAAATATAAATAAACTTAGAGTCAGGAAATTTAAAAAATCATCAAAGCTGTTCATGCTACTATGTACAACAACCAAAAATTATGCACGCACACACACACACAGGGATAACAACAACAAAATACAACACTTGAAGGTCCAATAAAGATGGAGGCAGCTGTATAACTGAATCACTACTTGGAAGAATGCCTTGAAAAACTAGTGAACTTGTTTTGGACTTTGTGTAAGCACCAAATAAACCTTTCTTATTTTAAGCCCCCTGAGATTTAGAGGTGTATTTGGCATCTCAGAACAGCCTAAGCTTTCTTGGCTCATGCAGAATTCATCACCTCCACACTGCCAGGGCCAGAATCATGACTTTGGCAGCACACCAAGGGAGGCCCTCTCTCTCACAGGCTAAGTGACACAAAACAGGCTTATAAATGAATGTATAAATCAAACTGAGAATTTATTAAATGATGAAGTGAAAAAAAAACCCTCTCATACAAATGGGGATATCTGTTACCACCATCACACCCAGTCTTTTAGTCAAAACAGACCTGCATGAGAAACCTAACCATAGTAAGTCTATTCGGTGCACCTGTTCTCAGATGAGATGACATTTTCCCAAGTCAGCCTGTAAATTTGTTTCATAGTAGAGACCATTTTGTTGGTGAGTACAGAACGCCTGAGGCTGTTGGGCTACAGTTTTTACTCCCAGGCATGTACCCGAAGTGCTCTAGTGGATTTTCCTTTTCTTGCTTCCAATCCTATCAACACTCTTTTCTTCATTAGATGTGCTACTGCATTAATTTAACTGTTTAGACAGATGTGCTTGACCTCTGAGGCATTCCTTGCATACACCTACTCTTACCTACCACATGTTGGTTTTGTATTTTTCCTCCAAAAGAATGATCAAAAGTCTTTAATTTTCAAATGCTGTGACTGGAGTGATAGGGACTCTGAATTGGGGGAGGATGATGTCCTTAGTTATAGATTCTATGTACTGATAATGTCTTTAAACTAATAGAAACACTAGGAATTCTATAATCAGTGCACTTGCATGTTTTCTAAGTTTACTTGAGAGTAATCTGTGCAATCCTTGAAGGTTTAGGGTGAATAAAAAGGGATCAGTAGAGGAAAGTTGGTAAATACTATTGCCTGCTAAAATGTGGAAAATAGAAAAAAAAATCCAACAAGCTTGTCCATTTGGTTAAGGAAATTTCCAGGCAGGATGTTGAAAGTGCCAACTGACTTTTTAAAAACTGCGTGATAAGATATGAGATACAAAAGGAATTGTTAATTTTAAAGTAGACTTTGGAGGAAATATAAAGAATTTATAACATTTGAGTTAAAAATAAATGTTTTGGTTCCCAGCCTTTCCACATGGAAAAGGTTCTGAAATTAAGGCATATGCTTAGGAGAAAAGTTACATCTAGGTGCAGCGTTAAGATTTTTTTGTTAAGATTGTAGAAATATTTAAAGCTGTTCATTCTAGACCCTTTCAGCCCTACAAGAGAGTGTACATTAGCAGGGAGCTAAAGTCAGGGGCTGGAGCCAGGGGTCAAACCCAGGCACTTTGATGTGGTTTGCAGGTGTCTTAAATGCTAGGACAAAGGCCTGCCCCTTCCTTGAGGATTTAACAACATCTTCCTGTTCTGGAGTTTCTACAGCAGCACTAGAAAGGACAGAGTACCCTTTTCTTTGAACCTCAGAGTTTTAAAAAAATTGTCCCTTTGACACCCAACTCATCAGCACTGTCGCCTTTGGTATCAGAACAGTAATTGTTATCTCTCCCCAAATTCCGTTAAGCTTCAAGTCTTCATTGCATAATTAAATAAGCTATTTGGTTTTACTTGTAATTTTCACATTAGCTATTGGTACATGTTTGCTACGCCACATGATAAACTTAAAATTATTGAGACATGAAAACTGCATGAGCTACCTCATTCAGAAGCAACTGACAGCAGCCATTGTTTGTTGGTTAAAATGCTATTCTTCAAAGTATTATACATCCTAACATGATCATTTGTTAATTATATTTTACTTTATTTCAAATATGTTAAGAATTTTTGGGTGTATTATGTTTTGCACTTAAATATAGGCTCTTATTTAGATTTTACAGTGAAATATCAGATTCCCAGGAACTGAGTATTGAAGTAGGATATATCTGTATGGCTATTTCTGTAATTTCAACAAATTTATGCTGTGTATTCATGATGCTCTCATTTTCCAAACTGTCTTATTCCACAATTGCATATTCATTATGGTGAAGGGAGAGATAACTTGAACATGAGAGCTACATCTGATCCTGAGGGAGCTCCTGGGCTTTGAAGTTAGTGGGACTTCAGATTGTATCTCTGGGAAAGTATATTTATCAGTGGGAAGGAGGATATGCCCAGATGTTTGGGTAGTCAGAGATATAGAGCTATGGCAGACACTGCTAATTGACCCAAGTTTCTATTCTTTCCATTTTGTCCAGTAAGGAAACCCCAAATGTTAGCTGGGCATTTGTCCAAACAACAACAACAAAAAAAGATCACACACTTGTGTTTCCCTGCCAGGGTGTGAGTGAATAGCAGGGCGCTGGAATCCAGAGCAAAGCCAGTACCTGAACCTAGACACTTGGATGTAGGATGCTGGGCATCTTAACTGCTGGACTGTTCATTTGAGTATTTGCCTTTTATTTCCTTCAAGCAATTCACACCTATCTTCTATTTCCTTGTTTTCTTGCTTATTTTGTGTCTTCTTCCTCTAGGATGTTAGGTTCATGAAAATATTAACTATTTTCCAACTGCCTCTCTTCACAGCTGCCTCTCTCCAGGGCTTAATACAGTGCCTGGGAAACAAAGACACAGTGAATATTTGTGGACTGACTGAATGAAAAAGATCAGAACCGGGTTGCTCTAAAGGTGGAAAGTTCTTGCTCGAAGAAGCTATAGAATTTAGAATTCCAAAGGAACTGGAAGGTTATAGTGGGCCAGGAAACTGACACTCAGTGGGCTTACGTGCCTCAGAGTCCTTGGCTATGCCCTCTCACCAGGTGTTAAGTTCTAAGGCATCACTGCTGCCTCTACCGCAGGTAGCATTTGGTTCATGCCAGGATGCTGCAGGTAGAATTGCTCAGTGGCTTACGGTTTGACACGACGACACCCCCAGTAGATGTGTGAACGTAGCCAACACATTTTTCAAGCTTTCCCAGGCACCATGGAGTTTAGAAAGCCCAGCCACAGGGAGCAGGTGGATAGAACCAGCAGGCAGCCTGCGCCGCGGAGGCGGAAGACGATTGTACCGAGCCTTCCTCACCCTCTTCGTCCGCCTGCTCCCAACAAAGACATTTAATCCCGCTTCCACGACCCTCAGCTCCGCTTGGCGGGCTTAGAGGAGACGGAGGCTGAAGTACCATTTCACCTACCTCTGCGAACCCGCCAGAGCGCTCGCGTCCCAGCGCCGGCTGTGCGGAGCAGGCGCGGCCCCGCGCAGCTTCCCCAGCGCAGGAAGCGCGCGATCTTGGGACCCAAGGCCCCACACCCTCCGCACACCGAGCCCGGCCGCCTTCCGAGGGGCTGCGCGCGCCGAGGCCACGGGAGCGCGCCGCGGGGGAGGTCCGCTAGGGGGAGCGCGCACGCTCCGCCTCTCCCCTCCTCCCTCGTGCGCGTCCCGCCCCCTCGAGCTGCTATACGCCGAGCGCTCAACATCCGAGGACTTTGGCCCAGAGTAACCCCGCTCGCGTGACCTTTCCCCTCCATTCCGCACCTCCAGCTGCCCGCCCCGCGAGAGGGCGGCCGTTGGGTGCTCTCGTCTCTCCCTCTGGAGCCCTGGTTCTCCCCCTCCCCGGCCCTTCGCGCTGCTCTTCGTCATGGCGGCCCTCAGCAAGTCCATCCCTCATAACTGCTACGAGATTGGCCACACTTGGCACCCTTCCTGCCGGGTCTCTTTTCTGCAGATCACCGGGGGCGCCCTGGAGGAGTCCCTGAAGATCTATGCCCCCCTGTACTTGGTGAGACCCGTCAGCGCCTCCCATAGGGCGAGTTTGGTGTGGAGGATGGGTTCGGGGGTGCAGTCGGCGCCCACGGGGGCTAGCGGGGACTCGCCGTGGGCCGGTTTCGCTCTGGAGGGTCGCAGTGGGTTTGGAAGGGAGCGGTAGATCTTCTGCGGCGAGGTCGGAAGGTGGGGGGGTGGGGGAGTTTCCTGCTTCTACGGAGAAGGGGGTGGGGAAGCCGAGGCTGAGCTGTCATCCGAAAGCCTGTTGCTGGGACGAAGATGGACTCCCAACTTTCAGGATTAAGTTTAGGACACTGAAAAGCCTGAATCCAGGGGCCGGAGGATTTTTTTGTTTGTTTCTACTCTGTCTACTGCCTTGTGATGGAGAGGTGTTTGTAGGTCAGGGAGACGAGGAGAACGTTCTGTGGTCTTTCCTCATCTAATCCCGCTTCATCTCCCCCCATTCCCCTTCCCACGTCAAACGGCACGTTTGATCCTAAGTCCCTGTGGCTGCAGACTGGTCTCAGATTGTGGCTTCAGGTTTTTTTTCCCCCCAAGTTCACGAAATAGACTCCTGGTTTGAAATTTTTTTCGTGGTGATTTAAAGGTTGGTTCTTGAGTCAACGAAGCTAATTGATTAGGAGATATAACTTTATATTACTAGGTCCTTGTATTACACAATTTTACAGGCAGGACTATTAATAGAGACTACTTGGAAATGTGTGTACAACCTAACATTGAGAACTGTTGAAGATGTTCTCAGTAATCTCATCTTTGATATTAAAAATTTACTTGACCACTGAAGTTCATTGCCTCATTTTCTTGTCTTACAGAGTCTGTGTTCTAAGAAGGCAGAGATATTATTTTTTATGTTACTTAAAAGTTCCATTCAGTATCTAATGGATTATCAGTTCTTATTTATTACTGAAGTAATAATTTTAATGGATAAGCTAATATATCCCAAAGTTTTATGGCTATCTATGTAGCACTGCTTGAAAAGTCTGGTTACTTATTACAAAGATAAACAGGAAGAGAAGATGACTTTCTTGGAGATTGCAGAAGCTAGCTTCATTTTTATTATATGGTACAGTGCTTCTCAAACTTTGATAAGTGTTAGCAGTCTCCTAGGGATCTGGTTAAAATACAGGTTCTGATTCAATAGGTCTGCGTGGAGCCTGAGCATCTGCACTTCTTACAAACTCATAGGGGGGCCACCTTTTGCATAGTGAGGATCTAGAGTACAGGCCAGCTAGAGTTTTGGTATTAGAGCAGGAGATGTCTCCCTTGACTTTCTCTGGCAAAGATTCATGGTTATCTGCTTTTTCATATGACTTGTGGCCTGTTTCAGATCTCTTTTTAATGACAGAACATGTACCAACATTATTGAATGCTTGTATTCAAGTATACAAAATGATTGGTCCTGTCCTCAGAGGGTTTTAATTTAGGAGGTGAGAGTTTGTGCTGTGTAATTTTTATCTCTGAAAACCTGCACACTTTCATTCATTCATTGTTATGTGTTATATCTGTAGCCTAGGCAATTTATTGGTTAAGTTCTATAATAGAAAGGACAGGGGAGCAACAGGAAAATAGGTTCTACTGTTGCACCAACATAAGGTGGGATGGAGGGATCAGGAAAAGAGTTGTGTTTACTATTGTGTCTTCAACTAGATTGAATATTCTGGAGGGTGAATTTTCTGTCTCAGGTGGCTGTCTGTCCCTTCACATGGTACACTTCCAACTTGGGTTGCTACTCATCAGTGGTTGTAAAATAAAATCAGTAGAAATTGATTAGATTTTATTTTAAGCAAAATAGAAGATAATAGAAAATGTTAGAGTGCATTGCAGATACTGAGGATAAGCATTATTTCATGACATTTGATTTCAGTTGTATATGTGAGTGGGGCTACTTTGAACATATAGCAACTATGTTCTTTGTAGGTATTGAATAGTTCTTGATTAAATGTATACTCCCATGATCTGTGGTGCAACGTGATGTGAGAGCAACTGGACTTTTTAAAAGGATTAGGAATACCTGATTTGAATCTCAACTGTTTGATTTTGTGTATGTTACTTTATCTTTCTTGGTGAGAGTTGAATGAAATAATGAATTGGTGATATATTGCGTATTTTCTAGTTATAGGAAGTCTTGAATAATTATGAATTTTTTCGTCTGAATTTTCCGATAGCTCTTAAGTTAGGAGCAAAATTCATTGATGGTGGTTATGAAGGCTGCTTGGAAGAAGTAGCATTTGACTTGAGCTTTGGAGAGACAGATGAATAGAAGGTGGTCCATGTAGTAGATGTTTATAGGGTACTTATTCTTAATGGAGGGGATGGAAAATAATATGAATTGATGCAGAAATCTAAGTGGTTTTATAAGAAAACTGATACATGCATTATGTAAAATAGATGGTGTATTTACAAGTTTTGAGTGATAACTCCTATTCATTATTTCTGTGCTTAGTCTTTTACATATTTTATCTTTTTAAAAATAATATTTACTTATTTATTTGAAAGGCAGAGTTAGAGGCAGAGGCAGATAGAGAGGTCTTCCATCCACTGGTTCATTCTTCAATCGGCTTCAACAACTGGAACTGGGCCAATCTGAGTCCAGGAGTCAGGGGCTTCTGCCAGGTTTCCCACACAGGTGCAGGGGCCCTAGCACTTGGGCAACCCTCCACTGCCTTCCCAGGCCGTAACAAGGAGCTGGATTGGAAGTACAGCAATTGGGATTTGAATCTGCGCCCATATGGGGTGCCTGCTCTGCAGATAGCATTTTCACCCATTACAGAGTTGGCCCCATATTTGATCTTTTTTAATCCTTAGACAATTTTATATTATTTCCATTTCAAAGGTAAGAAAACTGTTTGAAACTTAGAGAGATTAAATGATTTATAAGATGTAGAGCTAGTGAGGGAAGAAAACCAGAATTCAGTTCTTGGATTTTTTTTTTACTGAAGGGCTAAAGTGAGGGTAAAGGAGCCATTGAGGGTTTATTTATTTATTTATTTTTAAAATATTTATTTGAAAGAGTTACAGAGAGAGAGAGAGACAGACACACACACACACACACACACACACACAGAGCTTCTATCTGCTGGTTCACTCTTTAAATGGCCACAACTGCCAGGGCTGGGCCAGGCCAAAGCCAGGAGCCAAGACTTTCATCTGGTCTCCCACCTGAGAACAAGGGCCCAAGCACATGAGCCATCTTCTGCTGCTTTCCCAGGTGCATTAGCAGGGAGCTGGCTCAGAAGTGGAGCAATTGGGACAGGAACCAGTGCTCATATGAAATTCTGGCATCACAGGTGACAGCTTTACCTGCTGTGCCACAACACCAGTCCCTGAGGGGTTACTTTTGAGCAAAGGGGTTACAAGTACAAAGTGGAGCTTTAGATGACAAATATGGAAGCACTTGGTAGACTGGATTGAAGTGATTCTTTTGGAGCTGATGGAGTAGACTCACCAATGATGAAAAGAGTCAGAGCTCCCCTGGAATCCCGCCTTGTGTTTTACTTAGAGTGATTTTGAAAAAATTCATCTATATGAGTCTTAGTTTCTTTGTTTTGTAGAAAGTAATTATACTTATCTTTTAGATCTGGTTAGAAGAACTTAAAAAGAAGAAAAAGTATGTGTGCATAGCAACTGTCACATATTAGGGCCCTAATGAAGTGGTGGTGTTATTGAAATAGTGTATTAATTGTGATCTACATCTCTAGCTCCTGTTAGAAAGGTGGTCTGTATTTAGAACCTAGTGTGGTACTCTAGCAGGTGCTTACTAAGGTTTGAATGAGTGTAGGTATGAATGAATAAACTCACAAAGAGTGCAAGAGTGAGGAAGTATTCAGCAGGTCTGCAAGAGGAAATGAAAGAGGGATTCTAGAAGCATTTACTAGGAAGGACAAGACTTAAGAGGATATTGGGGCAGTGTGAAGACTTGTTCCTACTTAGAAACTGAGAAGTTCTAAAGGGAAATTGGTTTGGGGAAAGATTTTCATTAAGCTGTAAATGGGCCTTATAAATTTGCCTTTTCATTTGAAATACCATGTGCACTGCACTGAACTGATTCCTTTTGCTTATCATATTTATTCTCTTGTTCTGTGCATCTTCTCTCATGCTTCTTTTCATCTAGTTGTCTATAAGTATTTTTAATTTGTGTTCACTATCTACTCCTTACAGCATTTTGAAATGTAGATACACTATTCTAGTTCTTATGCATTTCTTTATTTTCTATTTTATTTTTTAAATTTATTTTTAATTGTGAGATTTAACATTTTGCCATGTTCACATCATATGTAGATAATATATATACATATATACAATGTTTTTCTTAGAAACAGGGATACTAATATCACAGACTGTAGGAGTCATGGCAATGATTGTAAAGTGGGGGAAAGATAACTGTTGTCATGTACATGGTATGATGCATTGAAGCAGTATTTACAAGTACTGTACCTTTTAATAGTGAATCTTTCTTTTTTCAGTTTTTTTAAAAAAGATTTGTTTATTTGAAAGAGTAACAGAGAGAGAGAGGGAGAGAGGGAGAGAGTGAAAAAGAGAGATCAATCTTTCTTTTTTTTATAGAAAACTTGGATTATAGCGGTTCTTCCCCCCATAACCACCCTCCC